ATGGGGGTGCTGGGGAGAGAGGGCTGGTGGTGTAGGGAGGCTGATCTCACAGAGCTTCTGGCCTCCTCATGCGCCTTACCTCCCCTTCTAGTTTTAATAATCTGTGATTTTGAGTCCCTCTTCCTTAGGATGGTTGGTGCTGTGGTTTGAATGTTTATGTTACCCCTAAATTCATATGTTGAAAACCCAATGCCCAAGGTTATAATTTTAGGTGGTAGGGCCTTTGGGAGGTGATTAGATCATAAGGGCAGAGCTCTCATGAATGGGCTCAGTGCCCTTATAAAAGAGGCCCCAGAGAGCTAGCTCACTCCTTTTGCCACGTGAGGGCGACACAGTGAGAAGTGCACAGTCTGCGAGCGGAAGAGGGCGTTCACCAGAACCTGACCATGCTGGTGCCTTGACCTTGGATTTCCAGCCCGAAGAACTATGAGAAATATTTTTCTGTTATTTATAAGCCACCCATTCTGTGTTATTTTGTTATAGCAGTTCGAACAGACCAAGACAATTAGGAAGTTTAATGAAAGCACTTGGAGCTCCTCAGAAGAAATTAGTTCTTTATATCCAAATGATTTTCATTATTATTGTTCATTGTTTGTTTTTATTGCTGTACACCTACATGGATTTGTAGGGAAATCTTTATGAATTTATTTATCAAACACTGAGTGCTTATTATGTGCAGAATGTGTAGGTGTTTGGAATGCAAAGACTTAGGAAACATGAGCTGTGGAGGAGCCCTAGATAGAGGTACAAAACAAGTTTTTGCATTAGATTGTGTGCCATGCTGTAAACAATGTGGAGAGGTAAAAGTTATTTCAGAGAAACTTATTAATTGTGTCTTCTGTGTCTTGATAATAGAATGTACTAGGATTGGGCATGCAGAGAGGAATAAGATGCAGTGGAAGCACTAATAGTCCTAGTTCTCACTTAACAGAGGCCACGAGTATCTCAGCTTTGCGTAGCACCAGATAAATGCCCTTTACTCTGAGTTCCTGGAAGCCTGGTGGACCTCTGCCAGAGGTAGCAACACAGGATCCTGTTCTGTACATTGTATTCAGTGAATTACCAGTGAAGGAGTATTTTATCAGGTACCAACTGTCTTACATTGGAAGGTGCTATCTTAGGGTAGGGTGCACTACTGAACCAGACCCAAAAATGTAATGGCACAAACACAAAAAAGTTCGTTTCTTGCCCATTTCACAGTCCAGGGTGGAGGTCCAGCCTCTTATGGCCCCATCATCCTGGAGGGCATGCCTTTGTGTGCTTCTTAAGACTGAATTGTCACCTCCAGGTCACAGTAGATAGAAAGGGAAAGAGAGCCAGGGTGAAAACAGGTGGAAGAAACGCACCCAGCCTCTTAAAGGCCCTAGTTGGGCAGGGACATGCATCCCTCCACTCAGATCCTGCTGGGCAGAGTGAAAGGCCTCACCTGTCCTGAAGGAAGACTGGGAAATGTGGGGCCCAGCTACTAGCATCTTGTATGTCTTTTGTTTCTGTCTAAGAAGAGGAAAATAGATTTTGATGTATAATCTCTAAATAAATGTGAAACTGGTTTAAAGAAAACTTGTTCTTTCCCTGGGCCTCTTTCCCTTGAGGAACATTTATCTTTTTAGTCATAGGAAGTATTTTTCTTTTCTAAGCCTCAAATTGTACTTAGAGAAATAGAAAGCATAACCCTTGCCCTCAAACAACTTAAAAAGTCGCTAAGGAAATAAGACTCATATGCAAAATCATCTGTGCAGGGCACAGGCTATGTCTTACTCTCTGCTGTCTCTCTAGCACCTAACACGGATCTGACGCGTACTACTTGCTAAGATAATTGTTGGATTCAATTACAAGCAGTCTAAGTGCATGACTGTCAAAAGGGGATAGGGTATGGTTGATGGAAAGACACCAATGGACTCCGTTAGAGGTAAACAGAAACTCAGATTATTATGAAAGTAGAAGATAGCGCAGCATGCCCCCAGACTGAGTATGACTTCCCAAGCTCACAGAGTTCTCTGTGACCGTGCAAAGCTGCTCACGTGGAGTAAGATTCCTGCAGGTGTGAAAAGTGACTTCTGCCCTTCTTCTGGGGGATCTATCCCGTCCCAGCCACCTCCATTGTTTCTCTGCTCTGGAGGAGGCTCTGGCCACATGGCTGCCTTTGACCAAGTTGCAAAACAGTCCGGTGCTTTCCTGAGTGATCACCGGGAGACTGAAGTGAAGTATGGGCCACGCTTCCAAAGGTAACACCCCACATGGGCCTAGGGTTCAGACTCTGGCAGCATCCATTCTTTACCAGGTTAGTGGGCACATCATTGCCAGTGCACTGCTGGCTTTACCATCTGGGGAAGATTTTTCATTCCGATTTTTTAAACAGCTTTATTGAGGTATAATAAAATTCACCCCTTAAAAATATATAGTTCAGTGATTTTTTAGTATCTTCATAAGGTTATGCAACCATCACCACTGTCTAATTCCAGAACATTTTCACCACTCTCCATAAAACTCTGTGCTGCTTAGCAGTCATTTCTTCATTGCTCCCTTCTTCTTCTTCCCCACAACCCCAGGCAACCAGGAATCTACTTTCTGTCTCTATGGATTTGCCTGTCTATTCTGGACATTTCATATAAATGGAATGGTAGGAAACTAAACTAATAAATGTCCAGGACCAGAATTTGGACGAAATTCTCGTTTCCCCAGTCTAGGGCTCTTTCCAGTCCTCATCTGAGCCACCCCTCGTGGAACAAGTGGAACTTAAACCTTGAGAAACTGGTAGACTGGCTTTCCCTCCCATGATAACTTTTAAATTTGTTCCCCTGGCCACCTCCCCTGTTGGAACTTTAGTCATGAAAAATGCTTCTCCTTTGAAACTTAATCTTGTCCTCATTAACTAACTTGAATGAGAGCCATGTTCTAGGAGCACAGCTGTTCCTGGCAGCTGCTTGAATTCTCATGTTGTAGTTTCCTCCATTCTCAGAGCAAGGCTTTGGCATGGCTTTCACGCACCCAGGACTTCGGGACATTTAGGAAAGAGGGTACCTTCCTCTTCTTATGCTTGTGTCCAAGTTACATCCTTCCTCTGTTTCAGCATCCTGTTTCAGCAGCAACGTTGTAAGACCAAGTCTGAGCGTAGAGGGCCCAGTTTACCAACTACTCCGCTTCCTTCTCTGTCGTCTTAATCTCACCTCTTTGTGATTTCTTTTTCTCATCAAGACTATCTTTGATAGCCTCATCTTACCTGGATGAAAAATATTCTTGGACTGGAGTAGCGTGGTTACAAACAACTTATGATTGTTGACTCATCAGCTCTCAAGGGAAGACTCTGGCTATGGAAAGTTCTTCTTCCCCCAAGACTTGGCATTTGTGCCTTACAGACAGCATGTGGCAAAATCTTGGTCACTTATCGCACCCCTCCATGCCTGTTCTAGGCTTAGATCTCTTCTTGCAGCATCCCTGAGCCAAAGTTTATGAAGAGGTGATGGGTCTTTTTAGCTATATAGCTACCATCAGTGCAATTAATAAAAATGCATTCTGGGCCGGCCAAGTGGCGCATTGGTTAAGAGCTGGCTTGGGACGCCAGAGGGTCCCGGTTCGGATCCCACATATGAGGGCCAATGACACTGCCCTCTACAGCTAAGATGCTGAACAACAGCTCAAACTGGAGCTGGCTGCTGTGAGTCGCTGGTGACGGCGTAGGCTGCAGCCCCTGTGGCAGTGGGTTGCCATGGGCTACCGTGTGTAGCCAGCAGCCAGCGTGAGCAGCCAGCAGCTGCTGTGAGCGGCCATCCAGAAGCCGGCGACTGATCTGCCTCACCTGGGAAGAGAGCAATGATGGTGCCAACTTGGGCCAGTGAAGCAACGTCCTCCACAACTAGACTGAAGAAAAAAAGGACAGCAACTTGTCTGTTGCCCTTCCCCAATTCCTCAGAGCTGTTCCCATCCCCCAATTCCCCAATAAAAATCTTTAAAAAAATAAATAATAAATAAATAAATAAATAAAAATAAAAATGCTTTCTTTCTGCAGTAGTTACTAAGTGGCAATATTAGGCTACTAATGAGATGAGTATTTTCATTTAGCATCTGTAACCTCTGAAACACAACTTAATCATTTCAGAGAAGAGACCAGATTTCTCCACTTCTGAGTTTGTGTTTAGAACCAACTTATCTTCCCCTCTTCTGATTTTGATTACCCTGAAGACTGTGAGGCCCTCAGGGGCAGTGTACTGTACACATGTGGCATGATAGACTGGCAGGTAGCCCAAGCGTGACACATTTTGTCTGGACTCAGGCAACCACCAGGGCTTTGCTCAGCAGCAACTCTGCAGAGCCTGTTTGGGCTGGGCTCGGATGTGGGACTGTCAGAAGAGGGGCACATCTTCCTTGCCTTCAAAGAGCTTCCTGTCCTCCAGTTGGGTGTATAACACTGTCAGTCTTGAAAACACCCTAAAATATTATACTCAGTTTTATGTATAAACTGTTACCAGAGATAATAGGAGATGGCTTCCTGAAAGAGGTGGGTTTGAAACAGGGCCTTGCAGAGCCTGGCAGGGCTTGAGGGGGAGTGGGCAGCACAGCACCTTGGAATCAACTAGCTCTGACTTTAGATTCTAGCTCCACCTATTTCAGTGTGACCTTATGTTAGTTAAGCCTTTAAATGGGGGAAGAAGCTGTTATGAGAATTTAAACCTTGTATAGCACTTAGCACAGTCGAAACTCAATAAATAATGTTTCCCTTTCAGGTTAAAGATGGGAAAGAATAAAAAATAGAAAACTTATATTGGGGGGTTAGCGGAAGAACAGCATGCTGAGAGAATAGGGTAAGGGGAATATAGAGGCTTGGGGGAGGGGGTACTGTTTGTATTTCTTAAGCAATGATATTCATCTTTTTTCAAGGAAATGTACAATTGATCTTCTGTTTGCCTATACTGAGCACTGTCTCCCAATGTTATGTAGTTTGTCATTCGCTGGCTCTCTGGGTCCCAGCTGTGCCTGCTTAACCGTGTTTTTCTCATACCCAGGAGCGCTCCCACCCCAGCCCACTGTTGCCCGGCTGTTGGAACACTGTATAACACCAACACACTCGAGGCTTTCAAGGCTGCAGATAAGAAGCTACTTTTGGAACAAGCAGCAGATGAGGTTAGCTGGGAAAACATGATGTATCCATCGTAGTTTCCGGGTCCCGTAGGTGTGGTGTTTCTGATCAGGTGTACAGGTCTGTCATAGAAACTAGCATATTGTCACAATTCAGAGAGCGGTGGGCATCTATGTTGGTGGGAAGGTCAGGAAAAGACATCGAGGCTGTCACCTGGGTTTAGGCTGGGATTCGTGGCGGGGCAGTGGATAAAAAGCTTTGCTGCTGATCTCCAGTTAGCATTTTGAAGCAGCTTGACCTCTGTCTGCGTGTTCTGTTCCTGTGTCTGAATGCATTTAGTTCTCTGTTCTTTGTGCCTCTGGAAGAGGCTTTCCAGTCCTAAGCACTGAAGTGCTATCGGAGATGATCATAAAGTCTCTTCAGTATCCTCAGGGCTAAATCTAAACTACTCCATCTGATTTTCAAGGCCCCTCATGGCCTGGCTTCTGTGGCCTTTCTGTCCCATCACACTGGCCCTTCCCCTCTCTGACCTGGTCACAGAAAAGTGCTTCTCATTTCTTCCTTCATCTACTTTTTGTTCTCTCCTCTATTCTCAGGACACAGTGTTCTTTCTGCCTGGAATGTCTTTACTTCTTCACATCTGAGTTAGTGTGAGGAATTGAAATGGGGGGACCATTGATCCCAATGCCCTTTAACTCACTTCATTGAGTGGTCTTCACACTGGTCTTAAAAAACAAGAGTCTTGGGCAGGCCGAGTGGTGCATTGGCTAGGAGTTGGCTTAGGACGCCAGCTCTGAGCAACAGGGCCCGCGTTCAGATCCCACATGAGCGCCAGTGACACTGCCCTCTACAGCTGAGATGGTGAACAACAGCTCGACCTGGAGCTGGGCTGCCGTGAGTCACTGGCGACGGTGTAGGCTGCAGTGGGGTTGGCTGGCAGCGGGCGTGAGCTTTCGTGAGCTGCCGTGAGCGGCCTTCCAATGGCTGGCAAGCGACTGCCTCACCCGGGAAGAGCACAATGATAATACCAACATGGGCCAGTGAAGCGACGTCCTCCACAGCTAGACTGAAGAACAAAAGGACAGCAACTTGTCTGTTCCCCTCCCACAATTCCCCAATACAATCTTTACAAAAAGAAAAACAAAACAAAACAAGAGCCTTGTTTTCATGGCTGCCATGGTCACAGAAAGGAGTTGGCTGCCTTTGGTCCTGAGGAAGGTGGCCCTTCTGTTCCTCAGGATGGAAGCAGGATGGATGCAGCTAATGACTCAGGTGATGATGGTTGTTCTCCTTGGCCTGCAGCTCGACTGCTCCTGGGCTCCTGCTTTGGCTGCACCTTTAACAGACTGTCCCTAAAGAATTGAGTCAGGTTTTGGTCCATCACGGAAAACAGCAGGTTGCTCCCCATGGAATCCCCACCCCTTGCCTGAGGCTGAGCCTTTCCACAGTCTCCCTTACTCGGCTCATCAGAAGTGGGGGCCTGCTCCTCAGCGGCCCAGCTCCTTCACGGTTATCATTTCAGCAGTAGGAACTTCTCTTTGCTTATTTTCCTCTTCTCCCCATGTGTGGGGAATGGTTCTTAGTGGCACAGCTGTTTGTCTTGCTTAGTGACACAACGTTTGGCAACTAATCTTAGCTACTAAAACATCTTGTGACCAGCAGCTGCTGACCAGTACCAGCTTCTGCTTCCAATCCTAATACTTGCTGAGTATTCATAAACTAGACTTCATTCCCTTTCCTTCCTGTCTCAGGGTGAGATCATCCCAAATAAGACTTTAAGAAATCCCCCATACGTAGTTCAAATGGCTACCTCCCCAAAGCCCTCCCTGGCCCTTCCCCTCCCCATCTCCCAGGCAAGTTCAGTGTTCCTCCTGGGAATTCTACATTCTTCTGTGATAGCACGTCCTACCTGGTTGTGTACTTGCACATTTATGTCTGTCTCTTTCATTAGACTACAAGATTCTTGAAGTTAGAGATCATGTCTTTTATTTCTGTAACCCCCATGTGCCTGGTGTATATAATAGAAAATGAGTAAATATTTGTTGAAGGAAATAACAAAGGCATGAAAGTGGCCTGGTTGCTGAGACCCCTGAGAGGAGGCTCCTGGGCTGTCTCACTCTCTTCAGCCTATTACGGGAGTGTGTCTGGTGGACAGGAGTGTGAAGTGGGCAGGGTGAGGTAACGACCCACTTCATTGCCTGGGATAAGTGGTGCCTGGCCTGTGCTTCGCTTGAGAGTGAGAAGTTCAGAGATGCCTGATAACCTGCCTGATGCTTTCCTTTCTTCTGGCAGATATGGAAATCCATAAAATCAGGCGCTGCTCTTGAAAACCCTGTCCTCCTGAACAAGTTCCTCCTCTTGACATTTGCAGTAAGTAAATGGACTGTCTGTCGCACCTAGATTGCTCAGATGCCCTGGGCAAGCCTGGATGCCAGTATTAACACTTTGCTCTCCTCTCCCTGAAGCTTTTACCTTGTGTTATTCAAGTCATGGCTGTTAAAGAAATTCTCATTTGGTTAGTGGCCCGATAGTGCTGGCACTTCTTACCAATGCAACATTAATTCATCCTTACTGATCATATTGGTATAGTCATCACACTTCTGGTGGTAGTTGCATGTTTATAACACAGTCATCCACCTCTTGTCATTCAGGACACAATAAAGTCAGGTTCGTGGCTAATGTCCTTGTTACATACAGCCCTGCAGAGCTCAGTCACTGGGTCCATTGACATAAGGAAAAGGTGATGTCTCAGGGACCCCGGCCACCCCCAAGCAGCTCTGCACTAGAGGAGATGACACTGTATAGCTTATTCACACATTTGTGTTTTTTAAAGAAAGAAAAATGTTTTATATAAATGATATCTAATTAAAATGAACATGAAGTGCAGCTTTGAAGAGGGAAAGAAATCACATTAGGTAACCATCTGCTGCCTAGGGAAGCAGGGGAAGAACCTGGTCTCAGTGATGGGGAAAGCGGTAAGGGCTGAGAGTAGGGATACCAGCTACCCGCCCATCTCCAAGCACATGCACTTGCGCGTTCGTGTGCATGTGTGTATAGATATATACGTACAGGCATACCTCAGAGATACTGCAGGTTTGTTTCCAGACCCCTTTAATAAAGTGAGTATTGTAATAAAACGAGTCAGAATCTTTTTGCTGGTGGAGGGTCTTGCTTACAATTTGTAAAAAACATAATATCTGTGAAGCACAGTAAAGCAATAAAACGCTGTATGTTTTGTGTGTGTGTGTGTGTGTGTGTGTCTATCTATCTATATATATATACGTACAAAAGTAATTTATCCTTTATAATAAAACATGACTATATAATATTTTGTCAACTGTATATTCTATAGCAGCTATTCTCAACCTTTCACAGGGGTCGCCTAAGACCATCGGAAAACACATATTTTCGATGGTCTTAGGAACCAAGACACTGCTCCTCTATCCGTCTCCAGGCCCACATACGAGTACCCGGTGACCCCTGTGAAAGGGTTGTTTGACCCCCAAAGGGGTCACAACCCATAGGTTGAGAACCACTGTTTCTATAGAGTCTTGTATATCTATGTTGCTTCCAATATTCACTATTTTAAAAAATGCTGCAGTGAACAACATTGTCTATACTGATTTTTTTCCCACTGTTCATTCCATTTCTTTAGAATAAATTCTGTGGAGGGGGCATATAAACATATTGATGTTGATCTAAAATATGTTATTTCACCACAACTTCATCAGCTTTGGATGTTAATCCTCTTTCCCACATTTTTCTTTCCTTTTTTTTTTTTTTGCCAAGTTATAAAAACCTTCCTTTCTCCCCACCTTTGCCTTTCTTTCTCCCCCACAAACTAATGCTTCATTTCTTCTGAATGCTGCCTCTCTGATTTACGGAGAGAATGATAGGAATCGAACTGGAGGCCATACCGAAGGTGGCTATCTACAAGGAGCACATTTTCTAACAAGTTGTTATGCTTTCTGTGTAATAGTGGGGACACAGAAACAATTTTAAATTCTTCCTGGGATTACTTCGGCATTGAGAATTCGTCTGTAAAATTAAGTAATTTTGTAGGTTTGCTACTAGGATAGATATAAGTCGTGCTAAAGATTTTTGGTTTTGTTATTTTAACATGAATACATTTTCTATACCAAAAATTCTAGTTAATGGAATCTAAATGACAATTTGTGCTTAAATAGAAAAGTAACATTAGCTCTTACTTAAAGTTTCAAGTCATTTCCCAGAGTCAGTATGTATGTTGGCCTTCTTGCCTTTTAACTGAGCATTCTTAGCCTGCCTTTAAAAAAATTAAAAGTCTGTCTCTTTTTAAATCTTCAGATACAAAGGGCTTTATGTTTAATTTAATCGAGGCCCTTAGTATCCTGAAAAGAACCCTAAGAAGTTCAAGCCTTTGGACTTTTGAAGATGACCTGATAAAGCCTCTTAGAAATTCTCAAGCTCTTCATCTTGAATTGTTTAACCTTTTACTAAAGATCAGTTATGACAAATCATTTAAGTACAAAAAAGAGAGGATAGTCTCTGGAGGTGTTTTTGCTTTTTTTTCCCCCCTGCTGGTTTTTAGGGCTTAAAGGAAGAGACACTTCATTAATTTCAGTTTTGCAGTCTGTTTTGCTATTATCAAAAGGGAATTTGTTCCTAGTTGATCAATTAGTGGCAGAATTAAAGAGTGTGAAAACTCTTAATTATGAGCCTTTCTTATCTGGACACACATTTATATATAAGTTTATATTCAAAAAGTCATCTAGTATGATTCCATTTATATGAAAACTCTAGGGCCGGCCAAGTGGCGCGTTGGTTAAGAACTGGCTTGGGATGCCAGAGGGCCCCGGTTCAGATCCCACATATGAGGGCCGGTGACACTGCCCTCCACAGCTAGGGTGCTGGGTGGCAGCTCAACCTGGAACTGGGCTGCCGTGAGTCACCGGCGATGGTGTGGGCTGCAGCCCCTGTGGCGGTGGGTTGCCATGGGCTACCGTATGTAGCCAGCAGCCAGCGTGAGCAGCCAGCAGCCACAGTGAGCGGCCGTCCAGAAGCTGGCGACTGATGTGCCTCACCTGGGAAGAGTGCAGTGATGGTGCCAACTTGGGCCAGTGGGGCGGCGTCCTCCACAACTAGACTGAGGAACAGGATGACAACGACTTGTCTGTTCCCCTTCCCCCAATTCCCCAGCATTGTTCCCATCCCCCCAATTCCCCAATTAAAAAAAAACCAAAAAACTCTAGAAAAGGCAAATCCATAGAGACAGGAAATAGATTAGTGGTTTCCAGGGGTTGGAGAGAGGGGGTAATGGGGAGTTTCTGCTAATGGGGTTTCTTTGTGAGCCAATGAAAATGTTTTAGAATTGGTGGTGATGGTGGTACAACCTTGTCAATATACTAAACAAAACCCACTTAACTATATACTTTAATATCATGAATTTTATGGTATGTGAATTACATCTCAATAAAAATGTCATCAAACAACCATCCACTTTTTATTTGTAGCAGATTCAAGAAAAAAATATTAGCCAAATAAACAGCATAGTGGTCAGTGGTAACACACTGATGGGTCAGCTGTCAAATAGCTGCATAACTATTGGATCCTACACATGAGTGAGCCAGGGCACAAAGGCTTCAGGAATTCAGAGGCAAGAGCATTCAGCCTGAGTGGGACCAGCATCTAGGACAGCTTCATGAGTCCTTTCTCCTGCATTGCTTCCCCTGGTGGGGGAATCAGTCACACACACCCCCAAAGATGTAACCTCTTCTATCATCGATGCTCCTTAGTTCTTAGAACTTCTTCTGTGACTCATACAGTTAATCATGCACTCATTTTATCTCTGCCTAGTGCAGAAAATGAGCTATCCCAAGGACTGGGACTGGGTTTATTCATCTTTATTGTCAGGGTCCAATATTTTGCCTTGTACATAGCACATGCTTAATAGTTGCTGACTTGAATGAATTTCATCAGTAAGGCATTTCTAAAAGCAACATTATATTATCTCAGCACACATAGGTTATGTTTAGCATGGCTTCTTTAATAACATGCGTAATTCATTTGATTGTGAAGAGAATGATAACTGTGTTTGGAGGTTGTGTCTCCACAGATGGAACATGGAGTGTGTTTGGTACTGTGAGCAAAAGCTTCAGTTTTGAAAGCAAAGTTCTGATCCCCTCTCTGCCACTTAATATCTTTGTTTTGTTCAAATTCTTCACCCCTCTCTGAGATTCAGTTTTCCGTCTATAAAATGGGATGATAGTAGTTACCTTTCAGGGAGGTTTTGTGTATTAAATGATGATGATAATGTCAATGACTTACTGAACACTTTCTGTTAGCACATGGCCAAAAAAGTATATTACGCTTGTCGTAATATAGTAGTGTGTGGTATGTGGAAGTGTTTGGGGATAAAGACAGAAATTCACTATCCTATCCTATCATGAGTTTTGTTGGATATGAGAATTACTGACAAGCTGGTCATATTTTGTGTGCTTCAATTTTTCTGTCTTACATGGCTATGGAAAGTTACATTAATAGATGCATTTCAGTTTAGTCATTGGTGCTTTTCTGATATCCTATGTTATATTCTTTCTTCTAGGATCTAAAGAAGTACCACTTCTACTATTGGTTTTGCTCCCCAGCTCTCTGCCTTCCCGAGAGTATTCCCCTCATTCAGGGGCCAGTGGGCTTGGATCAAAGGTTTTCACCCAAACAGGTATCAACAATTAAAACCAAATGTAGGTAAAATTGGGTGTAACATGCAAGAGTAGTTTAGTACATTCTAAAGACAAATAGGCACTTGTCTAGATGAAGAGGCAGTCACTGTGGAGTCCTTCAAAGATGGTACCAGTAGCAGAATTATTTACAAAATGTTTGTAAAATCACTTTGAAGGAGTAGTGAGCAATAATTTTCCAGGGTTTCAATGACATTTGGTGAAATTTTAAGCCACTAGGGAGGAATTAGAGGAACATGTTAAAAGACTAAGAATTTGCTAAGATGCCTTCTTCACTTTCAGTGTGGGAATCATAAGGCATTCAATATACCTTGGGAAGAGAGTCTTTGAAGCCAAATAGAAGACATTGTCCTTCCCTTGTGCCATGTTGCAGAACTTCTGCATCAGGAATGGTATATGCTGAGCTAGTCTTTGCATTTTCAAAAAAATAATGAGGTCATTAGGGATGGCCCCGGAAGAGTAATGAAAATAATCAGGCTGGTAGAACATAGACCCTAAACCAAAGAATTCTAACTGTTGTTGAGGCAAAAAAGTGAGTGGCAAATGATTTGAATTAATGAAGCGTATCAGTCACTAAAACTGAATTGTAAAGCCAGGGAGCAGCCCTTACTGATTACAAAATAATAATGTTTGTTTACTAAGATAAATCAAAAGTTGTGGTTTTGTGGAACTAATTTCCCAAGAAGAAATACGTGGGGGAAAGAGGATTATGCATGGGGATCGACTGCTGATGGATGGGTATGAGGCTTCTTGCAGGGGGGACGAACGTGTTCTCAAACGATTGTTGTGATGGTTGCATAATCCTGTGAACATGCTAAAAACAGCATTGAATTGTGCACTGTAAGTGGATCAGTTGTTTGCTAAATGAACTATGTCTTAATAAATCTTAAAGATTTTGGAAAGGTTCATGGTAAAATTCATGCTTGTTTATCCCAGGAGAGAAATAATACTTGAATACCTCTCTTACTTAACCTTTGTGGTTGACGTTTTAGAGAACCACCATGCTGCATGTTCCATAAAATGTCCCTCTATGCCCTAAGACACTCCACTGTGCACGTGGACTGGACAATGTTATATAAAAGTGAAGTGGTATTATTTGGGGCATTTTTATGTTCGTTTGCTGCAAAAGAGTAACGGGTGTGATCAGTCATTTCCAGTTTTCTGGCTCGAAATTACCTTTTATGTTAATTTTTAGCTGAGAGCCAGATGTGTAATTGCCTGGGCGATAAATCAATATTTCCTGTTTTCAGATTCAAGCCCTTGAGCGTGCATATGATGATCTTTGTCTAACAGAAGGCGTCCCAGCACTACCTTACTTCTTGATCAAGTATGATGAGAACACGGTGCTGGTTTCCTTGCTTAAACACTACAGTGATTTCTTCAAAGGTCAAAGGACAAAGGTCAGAGAAACTTTGAATATCATTTTATTACCCAGTTAAAAAAAAATCCGATGTTCGTGTTATGATACCCTACCTCACAATTCAAACTCATTTATATTTCTTTAGCCCTCCAAAGAATGTTTCAGAACATTCCTTTTTTTTATTGAAAATACTTTATTTGTTTATTTTTTAATTAAAGTTAATTGGGGTGACAGTGGTTAGTAAAGTTACGTAGGTTTCAAGTGTACAATACTGCAATACATCATCTATATATCATGTTGTGTGTTCATCACCCTCTCCCACCCCACAGTTCCCAAATCAGCTACTGCTTTCATTTTTCCTAGCGCTGTTGCACCTCAGAGTAATTTTGGATTCCTCGCTTTTCACCATTAGTGATAAAGTTATTTCAGTTTTCCTTCCTGATATATTTGGTATCTATGTTTTAATTTATTCCCAGAGCTACCACTGTAGCTCAGGACCTGATTTTCTCACTCCTGGAGTTTTCTTGCTTCCTGGCACACCACCACTACAGAAGAACCTTCCTTAAACTGCTCATGTTCACTGTATCATTTGTTGATCAAAAGTTAATGATGTCGTGGGCCGGCTGAATGGCTCAGTTGGTTAAGAGCTCGCTCAAGAGTGCGAGCTCAGCAACAGCGGTTCGATGCCCAGCCTGAGCTGAGTTGCCGCTGAACTGCCAACAGATGGCAGGATGGCTCAGTGAAAAAAAAATAAAATAAAAAAAAATAAAGTTTCAGCTCAAGAGTTAATGATGTCTTCCTTCTGCCTCGAACCTACCTTTCCTGCCTCATCTCTCACTATTTTCCTCATAAACCATTGCTTCAACTAAGCTTGTCTGCTTTTTACCATACAGCACCCCCCCTCCCCCATCAAATATACCTATAATTTTTTTTTATACCTCTCTTTATCTTCAAATTGTATCATCTTCCCAAAACATACTCTACCTGTGAAAATCCTAAGAAATTCTCTCTCCTTATTGAATCCTCCGCCATCATGAAGCCTTCTCATGGTGGGGCCATGTGTGATCTCTCCCTTTCTGATCTCACCGCACTTACTCCTTGATCCTCATTTACTGCTGTACTCCCTTGTACATATTACTTTTTGTGCCACATCAGTCTGTAAGCTCTTAGAGGGCAGGGACTGTGTCTTATGTTTTTGTGTGTACATATTGTCTAACTATGTGTGTCTAACTATGTGTCTAATGTCTGAGGGACTCAATATTTTTTTCAGTGAATGGAAGAGTACTGTTAGTGTCTTTTAGAAGTGACAAGATATGCAATAAGCTGTCTTAGCCATACAAGAGATTGTAAATTAAAAATTAAAAATTGATTGGTATTATGAAGTTATGAAATCAAGGGGGATAATTTCAGTAGCCATATAGATAGAGAAGAGAGACCTTTAACTGATGGCCTAATTATTCCTCAGTCTGAACTTAAGAAACCTTTTTTTGAAGTACACTCTTCTTTGGAGGAAGTCCTTTTTAAATTGATGACTGAGGATTGAATTTTTATTAAAATTCTTTTCTCTCCCCCCAAGGCAGTTTCACAGAACTGTAGCTAACTTAGTAGCAACAAGACCAACCATTAATCATTTAAAGTCCAGTCTAGAGTGAGGCCCTCGTACGATAGCAGGCAGGGTGAAATGGCCTGTGTGTGAAAGCAATGGTGGTTCAGGTTGTATGTGGTAAATAAGTAGTCCTCTCCCAAAGTGCACCTTTATCCACATAATAGCAATTTGCAGAGCACTTTACAGTTTAAAAGAGGCTTTCACATAGTTGCTCCTGTCATAATTTTGTGAAATAGGTGTTATTAGTGCCTGTATTCTCTGTTTGATGAAAATGAGACTCAAAGTCACACACACGGCCAGTTGGTCTTATTCCAAAGCCTGTGTGCTTTCTTCCATTCCAGTCTCGCATCATTTGGGTGGAGGTGGTCTTTGCTTGACCTTTGGAATCAAATAGATCTGGATTTGACACCCAACATTGTTACTGAGTTACTCGGTGACGTCGGGGAATTTGCATAATCTTTCTTCACTTTAGCCCAGGGGTCAGCAAACTGTGGCTCACGAGCCATATGCGGCTCTTTGGGTACATACATGTGGCTCTGAACTAAAATTGAAAATGAAAATAAAACTATCATAGTTTCAGTTATAAAATTTTTAAAGGATATTATTCATATCATGGTGATTTCATTTGTTTTATGGCTCTTGAATAATTTTTAAATTATTTGGCTCTTCGTCTCAAAAGTTTGCCAACCCATGCTTAGCCTATCTGTTAAATGGTGGTAATAGTACCTGCTACAAGGCTTTGTGAAGATTAAACATGATGATGTGAATAAAATGCCCAGCACATAGCAAGTGCTACATATACATCCACTTTCTTTCTTCCTCAACAGCAGCATCTGTTCAAAGATTGAACAAATCTTTGGAGTCTCCTTAGAAGTGCTCTGGGTGACTTTACCAGTGCCCTGACCCTGAGACCAACCACCTGCCAAGTTCAGGCATAGAGCCCTTCACTGGGCTAGGGTCACATCTCAGGAAAGCCTGGAATTGCTCAGCACACGTTCAGCACATCCTATGGGCCAGAAATTGTGAGGTATGATTATACCTGTTCTCATGGAACCTGAAGTCTTCTAGGGAAGATGAGACACTGACTTGTGGAAAGTTAACTAGAAATTCAGGTAACAGAAGAGAAGTGCCAACAAAATGATACACATGATGCTTTGGTTGTTTTTCTTTACCCTGTCTTGTTCTAGAAAGGTCCACCAGATGCTCTGCAGATTGTTGGCCTCATAGGTGTTTCCTGGCCTCTGGCAGACCTCCCCATCTGTGGTCCTGAATGTTTCATCTATCCCCCCCGCACTGCCGCCCAAATGCATTTTCATGTTACTCTTGTACTTAAAACCCTTCTATGGTTCCTGTTGACTTCAGGATCAAGTTAAAACAAATTAGCTTGGCGTTCAGGACCTCTTCAAACCCAGCTTCTGCCCATCATTCTAGCCTCACCTCCTGGTGTTCCATCAAGATGCCTCCTGCGTTGTGGCTACAGCCGTGCCCTCCAAATGCCCCATGCTCCCCCCACCTCTGTGCCTTCACACACGCCTTTCTCTCTGTCTCCCTTCCTTCACCTGGCCAGAGCCTCCCCTTCCCCCCTTTCTGCTTCATCACTCTGGGAAGTACCGGCTGATTCCATGCAATATTTGATATCCCTCTGCTGTGTTCAGGTGGCAGCCTCTCTCCTAGCACTGACCGACCTCTAATGTCATTGTTGGTTTGCTTATCTGCCTATCCTCCTCTCCCCCACCAGCCTCTCCCCAACAACTTCAGCACAGAAATAATGTCTTACTCCACACTGTATCCTCAACATTTAGTGGAATGCCGGGCACTTGATGGGCACCTGACGTGTGAATGTTGAGAGGAGGGAGAGACCGCTATGGACGGGTCTAATTACAGAAGGCTTCGGGGAAAGGAGATTTTTGTGAAATTGAAACATCCCTTCACTCGAAGTCATTCCTGCTTTTACTGCATTAATCTAGTTCACCCTCTGTCACGTAATTCCAGTTTCTCTTCAGTGTTCCTGATTCATGAAGTTTCCTTGAAGGTTTTTACCATAGTCTACAAAAAAAATAGGCATCCTTTTTAGTGTGAACTCCTGCCATTGTGCCCTGGCTTTGTGTTTTACTCTTTTCCCTGACTCCTCCTCTTCCAGGACTTTGAAGCCCCTGGGGAAGTCACCGATCCTCTGTGAAGCTTGGTGTTCTCACGTGTGAGATGGGAAAGGTTGGCGCCCCAGCTTTCTCTCTTTCAGCCTGTTTTCTTTTCCGGAGGTCTCATGGTGTCCGTGGTGCCTGTGGCCACCTCCTCCATTCTGAACTCCCCTCTGGGTTCCAAACCTTGTCATCCAATGGCCTGCTTGCCTTTTCCAGCCCCTCAAATTCAGCATGTCCAAACGGAACTCATAATCTTCACCCCAAGTTGGGCATCAATCTTGGAATGATGCCGCCATCCATCCAGTCATGTGAACCAGAAATCTGGGCAGCCTGCCAGATACCTCTCTGTCTTCCTACCACCCCCATATCCTGTGGATTCTGTTTCTTAAACTTCTCTCAGTCTGCTGCCTTTGCATTTATTCTGCCACCACCCCAATCTAAGCTGCCCCGGTCTTTCCTCTGCTTTCCTGCTGTAGCTTCCTAATGGGCTCCTTGTGTCTGTTCTGGCCTCCCTCCCATCCATCCCTATATCATCCAAAGCAGTCCTTTGAAAAGCAAATCTGATCATGTCACTCTCAAAATGAAACAAAGCATGTGCTCTAAGAATAATAACCAAATTCTTTAGCATGGCATACAGGACTCTCCATGGCCTGGCCCCTGTGGAGATCCAGCCCCCATTGGTCCATATTTTCTCTTGCTTTACACCCTGCCACACCTCAGTGGTGTCCTCTTGCCACAGGGCCTTTGCACATGCCTTTTGCCTGGAAAGCCCGTCTTTTTCCTTTCTCTTCTGCCTATTTCACCCCCACTTCCAGCTCTCCCCAGTGAGATTATAATTGTACATTTTCTTTGGTGATTTTGATTAATATTTTTTTCCATGTAAATGTAAGCTCCACAAGGGTGGATACCCTATCTTTGATTTCCCACTACTGTACCTGCCTCCCGTAGTATTGTGCGTGGCTTGTAAAATACAGTGGAGGAATGGAGGCCTGTGTGCACGAGTTGTTGTGAGGATTGGAGCTCACATGTGTGAAGCACCTGGGTCAGTGCCTGACACACAGCAGGCCTTCAGTAAGCTTAGTGTGGCTCATTATAAATGTCCTCTTGAATGTGAGTATTCTGCTGTCTAAGGCCATGTGGCTTATAAAGGCTTTCCCAGTTGTTTATGCACTTAAAGTTTATATCTAATGTGAGGCATAGATGTGCTTAGTGGTCCAGCAGGAGACAGAATATAGGGGAGGTATGCGATCTGCAATGGGTAATTTCAAGCAGTGGTTCTTAATTTGGGTGGGA